GTTTTATTTCTGGATAGTGGAAGGAAGCAAAGACACTTCGTTAATCATTTTATACAGTTTGGTACACACAGGCAAATGACAGATGCTGCCGCTGCTGTTGCTTTGTAGCCTGCTGTGTTGTCGTGCATTTACATCATGTGATGTTCCTGCAGTAGCAGAGCAGTTTAAGCAGACAAGCTAACTTCTGTCTGCTATCATCCAGGTCTGCTCTATGTTGAATGTCCCAACTGACTTCAAGGATTACATCAAAACCTCCCAAGGGACTTCTTTCTGAATCACTCTTGATCGTGATGACGAGGAGGAGGAGCTGAATGGACATCTGCGATCTGAACAGAGGAGAATCAGGCTGAGCTGCTCTCAGTCAGCAGGCCTGCTGTTCGTCTCACAGGAGGCATCAGAAGGTGACTGGTCGGTGGTGGATTTATTGTGTAAAGCAGTGACAGCATCAGAGTGGTCTCTGCTCTCAGGTTCTGGTCACATTCACAGAAGTCCATGGTCCTCATTAACCTGGATCAGTCAGAGGAGTCACTGTCGCTCTTCAGCGCCAGGGGGAATCTTTGTGTGTATCTGTGGTAAAAGACTGGATTAATTGCAGTGATGCAGTATGTATCAGGAACTGAATTGAGAACCTGTAAATGTAATAAACCGACTGCAAGACATTGTTGTTTTCAACACAATTTCCTCTGTTATTGGATCACATCAAACCTACAGCAAAGAACTTTGAATTTAAAGGTACAGTGTGTAGAATTTTGTGATATCTAGTGTTGAAATTGCATGTTGCAGCAGAACACCCTTCACCTCACCCTCCCCTTCCAAACATGAAAGAGAAACTCTGGTAGCCTTTAATTGTCATAAAAACTCAAAAGGTGTTTAGTTTGTCCAGTCTGGACTAATGTAAAAAACATGGCGGCCTCTGTAGAGGGGGCCCCTCGATGTAAATATAAAGTATTTAAATATAAAGGGCCTTTTCTGGGGTAAAGAAAACTACAATTCATACAATTTAGATGAAATGAACTCGTGAAAACCTCATGAGGATTATTCTTAATTAAATTTCTGCCAATAGATCTCTTTCACCTAAATCTTACACACTGGACCTTTAACTCTTGAGCAGCACACAACAAATCTGGTACAATCATGTTTTATCTTCTCCTCTGTTAAAAGGTTTTTTTTGGTAGTTTTTCCTTACTTTTATTGAGGGTTAAGAACAGAGGATGTCACACCTTGTTAAGCCCTATTTGATAATTTGTAATTTGTGAACATGGGCTATACAAATAAATTTGATTGATTGATTGATCCCCCAAATATTTTAAAATTTAGATAAATTTTAACTTTAACTTTAACTAAAGACACAGAGACGATTTGACATGCTTTTATTACATAACGCCTGTGGCGACTGGCCAATAGAGGGCGTTAGGGTGCCGCCCCACCACTCACCTCATTACCTTGTATAAGACATAAAAAATTTAAATAAAAATTAAATGATAAA